TACCCTGAGATAAAGTCAACACTGGAGAACATATGTTCTGACAGTAGACAAACTGTGGCTACAAAGCTTGAAGGTGAAGGCCTCATAAGACAAATGGAAGCATTTGAAACAGCAATTCTTACTGTAATATGGTATAAAATCTTAACAAGGTTTAATGCAACCAGCTTATCACTTCAAAAAGTTGAGACTGAACTTCTGTCAGTTGTGAAACTGTATGAGAGTTTGATCTCCTTCGTCTCAGAAATGAGACAGGGTCAGTTTGATGAAATAGAAGATCAGGCTAGGGCTTTTGCTGAGCCTGTCTACACAGAGACAACAAAAAGAACAAGAAAGAGAAAACATTTCTTTGATGAATCAGTTGGCACTGAAACTCAACTTGATCCACGTGAGAAGTTCAAGGTGGACAATTTCTACACCATATTAGATTGCCTTAGGAATGAATTAGAGCACAGAGTGAATGCCTACTCAGAAATAAAGAAGCTGTTTAGCTTCTTAACGGAGTATGACAGTATGAAATATGATGATCTCAAAGCCCAACTGGAATTGGTTGTCAGTACCTATTCCAGTGACCTGGAAGCATCTGTTCTAGATGAGTTTTTGCAATTTAAAGACATTTTGTCTTCTGAATCTGACAGGTCAGTGACAAACATCTCCACTTTGCTGAGGTCCAAAGGTGGTATTTTGACAACTGCCTTTCCAAACATTAGTATCTTGGTAAGAATTTTCCTTACCATCCCATTACAAATTGTGAAGGAGAGAGGTCTTTCTCTACTCTATCTAGGGTGAAAAATCACCTGAGGTCCACCATGGGACAAACCAGATTAAACTCACTTTCATTATTATGCATTGAATCTGGCCTCCTACAATCCCTTGACACAAACAGTATCATTGACAAATTATCCATGAAAAAAAAGTAGGAAGAATTTATTTTGAAATTCACAGTTTGCTGTACTTCATGTGCTTGCAAAATTGATTATGCTTCAAGTTAATTGTATTTCTTTCATTATTCCCATATATAAGATGTACATGATATAGAACTAATTTGATTAAAAGTAATGATGTGTCACATTGTGTTGAAATTCTTATTTCTTACATTATAATATTTTGATATGTAATATTTGATGACATTTGGCCATTGAAAAATAATTACAGTAAAAAAAAAATATTTATATATATATATACAGTATATATATATATATATATATATATATATATATATATATATATATATATATATATATATATATATATATTGTTGGAACGTGCAGGCGTTTCTATATGAGTTTGGGATACTGATTGTGTGTGTATGTGTATGTGTGTGTGTATGTGTATATGTGTGTGTATGTATGTATATATATATATATGTATATATATTATGTGTGTGTGTATGATATGTGTGTGTATGTATATGTATATATTATGTATGTATGTATGTATGTGTGTATATATATATATATATATAAAATATGCAATATATAGATATATTAATATGTATATATAAATGTATGAGTATATAGATATAAATGTGTATGTGGAGTAGATGAGTGTGTGTGTGTGTGTGTGTGTGTGTATGTGTGTGTGTGTGTGTAAAGAAATATATATATATATATATATATATATATTTATATATACATATATATATATATATATTGATTATTAAAACATGCAAACATTTCTATAAATTTGGGGGCCCACGGATGAGTTAGGCCTGGGGCCCACTGATGGGTAATCAGGGGCCCACAAGTAGGTAAACCGGCCCTGGGTACAAAGAAAGAAATATTGAGAAAGAAATTTGAGTGAAGACAAACCAATAAGTACAGTACACAGGGGCGGATCCATGGAGTTCAGAAACCCCCCACTTTTTACAGTAGAAATATCCAATACCTTTTATTTAATGCAGGTTTGCACTCAGGCGTTTTTGTATAGTGAAAAGTAATTAGTATTGGCCTCAGAATATCTCCTAATATTAAGTGTACATGGCTTCAAATGTCCATGATATTGGTCAATGTAAAAAAATTTATGGCAGACTTACAGCCCCCCGCCATGCAGGGTGGGCTCGCTATGCTCACCATGTTCCCCCACCCACAACTTCTTGCCCCCTCACCCCTTTGATATTCCTGGATCCGCACCTGGTACAGTTCAGTACAGATGTAAGCTGCAGAGGCGCATTAAAAATGATAGGTGACACCACATTAAGCTACAGTATTGGGTGGAAAATATGCAATCATCTTACAGAACATAACTCACCTGAGCCAAGAAGTGACAAGCTGAAGAGGTGCCACCAGATGCCAGAACCAGTCAAAGGAAGTCATCTTCACGGTCATCGGTTTTCTTCCGTTAGTGGCAGCTGTGGTCATCTGTGAAAGAAAATGGTTAAAAAATTAACGATAATGATAATTTTTAACATCCATCATGTTTGATACCGTACTAATGGCATCAACCTACGGGGAAAAACTGAAAATTTTTGACTTTTGTCAATTATGGTATATCATACGCATATCTCCCATTGTAGGAAAGTTATATTTTTTCTTTTAGAATGGAAAGATGAACAAATCTTTCGATTATTTCAGCAGCACCTACCTCGCACGTCTACCACGTAAGGATGCTCGCAGCAGTCTGAAGTAGCAGTGGGCGGGAAGTTAGCTATGGCGTCTGGCGGAGTAATACAATTTCACATTAGAAATTTTATTGAAAGGACTAGATATTATCAAGAGTTGACGGAATACCAAAGGATATATACTGTACTGTATATAAATATTTTTTGTGGTACACTCCCATTGTAATATACATAAAATAGTATTTAAAACGCATTAATTTTGGAACACTACTTGTTTTCCAAATCCCTCCAAAATTTTGCAAGATGCTTTCAAGAAATATGATATTAATATACTTGTTCTATTTGGATCTGAATTCCTCAGAATGACAAGCTGCTTTTCAACAAACATATTATCACGTGAAAAATATAATTTATACAAAAGTGGTCATAATTATTATTCACAGTAACCATTAAACCCCGGGTGACAAGTGTTGAGTGTTGACTCGACTTAATGTGAGTGATGTATACGTCCTTAAGACCTCTCTTAAGACCCACATCCTTCCTCCACACCCAAGTGTGAAGGTATTTGCTTGACAGTATTACTGATCATCAAGAGCTGTTTTGCGTGGCTTGAGCAGCATTTATGGATGACGATGACAATGATGGGGGAGGAAACAGAACCCAGATAATGTCTTGCTTGCCACCGTGAACCACTGCACAAAGATAGGCGACTTGGTGCAAGGTGGCTGGAGTTGCCTTGTGCATTCCATGTTACAAAGACTTCCTCATGATCAAGAGGTAAATCCAGTATAAGTATATGTAAATAGTGTATATTTGAAAATAGTGGCATGTTTTGCGCTTCCTAAATATTCCCACTTCAAAATTTTCTAGTTCTTTTTAGGAAAATTGAAATATTTTGTGTTTTGCAATAACTATAAGATAGAAATATGATAGAGCAGTCAAGTAAGAAATGTGTGTTGCAAATGCTGAACTACATCTCTCTCCGCCATTTTGGGCTGTGAGCATCTGCTACAGACAAGGCGTCTTTCATCACTCCACAAAACTCTCCAACCAAACTACAATGAAAGTTGAATGTAAGTACCACCGTCTCGTATTTTTATATTATAAACCCATTTATAAGGTGACAATGGATTTAAAAAAAATATTTCGAATTATGCTCGGCTGTCGTAAGAGGGGAAAATGACCGCGAACAACTATATTTCTCCACTCTTAATGTAATATTTCAATGTAGTATTACTGATAAATAATTTGCCTTAGCATGCCTTATCGTGGGTAAAAATAAGTATATATTAATTGCGTCCTCCGAAAATGTGCATTTGTTACCCGGGTTTAATATTTTTTTTTTTTTACAGGAATAGCCCACCTGGTACAAGTCATCGACCCACAATTGGGCCTAGGGGACGACAAAATTAGAGTAGAAAGAGATAAGAAATAGAAATGGAATAGGTTATATTAATCTACACCACGAAGATGCAGGAAAACCAGCTTTTTAAAGTGAGACATTGTATGAGCATGGAAATAAAAAGTAGGCAGAGCCATCCACATTTTGGTTGTGTGAGGAAAGAAGGATGTACTATAACGGGTTATTCTAGTGTGACCGACATCCACAGAGAAACAGTGGGCACCGTGGGCAAGACGTGTTACGAGCCCTCGGCCTTGCGCAAGGAAACAGGATGCCAGATCCACCGAACATTGCCCGTTAAAGTACCTGTAAAAGAGTGAAGCAACATTGTGGCGAAGAGAAAGGGAAGAAAGATTGTCAACTAAAAGGAGGAGAGTTAATAAGACGAACAGAAGAAGAGCCACCCCAGATATGAGAGCAGTACTCCAAGTTAGGACGAATGAATCCCTTTTATACTAGAAGCAACTGCTCAGAAGTGAAGTAGCTACAGCATCTGCACAGCATTCCCAGGTTTCGGGAGGCAGCTTTAGCAATGTTGAAGATGTGTGGCTTCCATGACGTGTTAGAGGAAATGGCGAGGCCGAGCATGTATAAGATTTTGATAAAATTCCTGCGTGCTCATGTTTGAAATGAATGTATGTATCTTTATATAAATTAGCAATATAGCCTCCTCCCTAGAAACGATTATCCTAACAATTATGAATAAAACTCATTTAGAAATACATCATTACTTCAGGATGAAATCGGTCAAATTTGCAACAGCCAACCAGCTGTAACTCTTGAGGAGGGGGCGGGGCATCTCTTTTCAGCTGGGAAAAAACGCACTACAGTTAAGAATTATTAGCCTACTCTTTACAAGCATTAGTCAATCAATTTTGAGCATTTCATAATTGAGATTAACCTTAAAAAAAGAGGATTCGACTATTTACCTCCGTAAAGGCCTGGCTTGTAGGATATACGAGTAGATCCCTTGTCAGCCTTACCAGTATCTTATCAAAGGAAAGTCAAGAACCATGGGTTCCAAGGAGTAATAAACAACCGTTAGAGAGGAAATCTGTTTACTAAGAAAATAATCACAAAAATTTAACGCTTGACACCACTCACACAAATTTTAAATGAACAGCACTGGCATCAAACAATTACCAAAACAAAATCAATAAAACAAAGTACATAGATTTCCTACAGCTGCAGATGAATCTTCCTTCTAACCAGCCCTGTAGAATGTTCTGGTAAAGCGGTGATCCGCTCTCAGGGGGAAGGTCCAGGGCAGCTTCCTCACTTGGCGCCGGTGTTGGTGGGCGAAGTCTTGCCACACAAGAGAGACGCCAGGGCAAACTTTTACTTTAGTGTACTTGGGCGGTCTGTCACGTCTCTGTTGGCACTGTGGGCATGTACTGGCTCACTATCCCATAAAACATGTCTAACTCGTTTTTCGTGTCATCCATTGATATGTACGTTGTCTCTCGTATGTTATGCTGTGTTAATGTTTGTGAAGTTGAAAATGCTTATGAATGTATATGTGTAGCTTCAACTGTGTTTAATTTTTGTGAAACCTGAACTCCCAAACATGGGAGAATTCCCTGTTCCTCCCTGTAGTGAAGTTACAAATTGTTACTTCACTCGTCGAGTAAATTTAAACAAACACACACACACACACACACACGTTGTTCGCTGGGTGAAATCTGTCTATAATAAAAGGTATATTGAGGAACTTCCATAAGTTTACTACATGTTTATTTATTTTTTGTGGCATCAACTTCCGTATCGTTGTGTGACCTTTGTATAGTATTGGAACGTTGGCGAATATTGTCTTAAGTGTGCTTCTCATTGTCAAAGTGTTCTAAAACCCCCCCATGCTGTATTTTGGTCCTGGGTGCCACTTGTTGTCATAGAGGGTGCCACTTGTCTTGGAGAGAGCCACTTGTTGTTACAGAAGAGAGTGCCACTTGTACTGGAGAGTGCCACTTGCTTTACTGGACAGTGCCACTTGTACTGGAGAGTGCCACTTGCTTTACTGGACAGTGCCACTTGTTGTACGGGAGAGTGTCACCTATACATTAACGATAGCCTTACCAATGTTGTCACCATGGAAGAGGCCAATAAAAGCTTTGGGCATGTTCTCAAAACCTTCAGTAACCGTCTCCTGATACTTGAGTTTGCCCTGAAATAGTAACAAAGGTAAACTATTAACATACATTGATTGTTTTCTATTAGGTGCTATATAAGTTCTCAAACAAGGTCAACTATTCATATGTTCTCGAAACCCGTGATGGTCTCTATATTAAATCTTTGTTTGAAGCAGAGAGAGAGAGGACAGGTACACACACACACATACCTCCACCACCCACTGCTTGAGCTGGTTGAGACCCTCCATCCAACGAGCGATCCACCGGGGGACGAGAAAGCCTTCCACACGGAGCTGTTTTGTGATGATCAGTCCCGCATCGAAAGGACCTGTCATCCAAACGTAAACATTAGCCATTATATACTAGTGTGTGTGTGTGTGTGTGTGTGTGTGTGTGTGTGTGTGTGTGTAACTTACTGTTAGCTACGAGTTGACCCTTGTCTCTGGTTTCATCATTGTAGGTAGAGATGGCGCCACATAACGATACTCTGCCAAAATCAGCCATATGCGGTAGTGCCTCAAGGGTGAACTGTCCCCCAACCTGAGATGGTAAATAAACTGGTATATTATAGGTACATTATCAAAGTAACACGTAACAAATTCTCACATCAAAGTAACAGGTAACAAATTCTCACATCAAAGTAACACGTAACAAATTCTCACATCAAAGTAACACGTAACACTCACATTATCAAAGTAACAGTTGATACCGTCTGGAGCAGCGTCCTTGAGAGCTTGGGTAACGCTGGTAGTCTTGTAGTTGAAGACATGATCAGCACCCAGGCTTTTAACCCACTCACACTTCTCTTGACTACCTGCTGAGGCTATCACCTTACATCCTGTAAAAGTTAGATGGATAGATGGATGGATGGATGGATAGATAGATAGATAGATAGATAGATAGATAAACAGACAGAGATGGATTTATTAATTGAATGGAGAGAGAGAGAGAGAGAGAGAGAGAGAGAGATTACCTCATAATGTCACTCACAAAGATAAGTTATCCCATAAACCAAGATTATCAAGTGAGTTAATATTATCAGAGACTACATACTCTTACCTTTAATCTTAGCTATCTGGACTACAGCACTCCCCACCGCTCCCGCTGCCCCATTCACCAACACAGTTTCCCCCGATTTTGGTTGACACAGCTCCAAGAACCCGAAGTATGCTGTGTTGCTGTGGGGAAGAGAGGGTAGTACTGTGTTATTCTGTGAGTTATTGGGTGTTGGGATGAAGTATAGGATGACATCAGGAGAGGATCTCAGACGCTATGACTAACAATTCCGGATTTCCTCCCTCTGGTGATAATGAGACCCAAATAAAAAAAATAACTCATTTTAGCTACCGTATAAAGATAACGATTAGAATTACTTTTGAAATTGAAGTTAAAATATGTGTGACCAAATACGTGTTGTTCTCTGCCTTTAGGAGAGGGTGGAATGGATCATATGTAGATTAGCCCCCAGTTTATTTCTCCTGATGAATAATAAAACAACTTAACGCTATCTGGGTTAGGTTAGGTTAACTTTAATTTATTTTAGGTTAAGTTAGCATAATTAGGGTTAATCTTAAGGTGAAATACACTAGGTGGATTAATATTCCCTTAAGTAATCCGAGTAAATATATTGACTGACTTGCGAACGCTTACAAGAATCCGGATTCATAGGATATGACCTTACCCAGGCATACCAACCACACCGAGACCAGTACTCTTGGGGAAGTCTTTGAGGTCAGGGAGAGGTGTATAGCTGCCCAATCCTCCCTCTTTAAGTTCCTTGGCAGTGACGAGTGTGTGTGACCGCCACCCTGGATAGCACACCATGTACTGACCCACCCGCCAGGAGGGGCTCTTGCTCTCCAACACCCTGTAAGAGGAGGAACCAGTGTTTAAGGCGACGCTGTAGGAGGAGATGAAGGAAATACTGGGTAGATAAAGGAGAGACGGGGAGAGAGAAGAGGACAAAAAGGGTAGAAAGGTGTTAAAGATAAAGGAGAAGGAATTGAAGAAAGAAGACATCAGTGACATAAATATGGAAGGGAAAGACAGAGAAAGACACGATATCGGAAAAAGAGAAGTAATGAGAAAGATAAATAACGAAAACCTGAAAAATAACTGGAGAAAAAGAATGACATTAATTAAAGATGGGAAGCACCGGTGTAGACAAATATATAAAACAAAACAGAGAGAGAGAGAGAGAGAGAGAGCCATACACCCACCTTGCCACCTGTCCGCCTGGCATGGTAGTCTTCAATGGCATCTTTCTGGCCCTATACCTCATATATGGGTCAACACTAAGACACTCCGCCGCAATAACCACATCTGTAAAAACAAAAACAAATTAGAGGAAAAATTCGCATCGACGCATAAAATATAATAGTTAACGGTGAAATCAAACCCCCCCAGTATAAAAGAAAACGTTTTGGCGGTAACTATAGAATTTAAAATAAAATATACATAGAAATCGACTTCAAACAATTAAGCGATTTCTTTCTCAGTTATAGTGTTGATAATGTTACAAAATTAGTCAAAACATAATATAAAAATACATCACCATACAATATATAGTAGTTAGTATACCATTTAATCATACACAAGCTCTTACCTCCGTCAGAACAAGGGGGTAGGTCTTCCTCTAGGAGTTTGAAGTCTTCGATTGTTGGTTCACCCAGAGGCCTACGATCCAGTACCCATACCTTAGCCTTCACCATCTTGCTCGTGTCTACCTGAGAGAGATACTGTTATGTGGCTAGATATTTAAGACCTAAGAGATAATGAGAGATATTAATGTCTCTTTCATTACTATAAGGTAAATATGTGTTAGCAGTAATAGATGATAAACAAGACACAAGAGAATGAAATAAAGGAAAAGCTCAGTTTAGGTTGGTTAGGATAGGTTAGTGTAAAGGCCTGGGACTTAGGGATAGAAATCCCTTACCAGGCTAATCAGGATCTTAATAAAGGAAAGTCAAGGACCATGGTTTTCTGAAGAATAACAAACAACCGTTAGAGATTAGCATCTCTTTACTATAAAAATATAACACAAAACTCTGACACCACTCAACAAACATCAAATAATTACGGGAGTCAAACAATTAAAGGAATCAACAATTAAAGGAATCAAACAAATAATGGGAGTCAGCAATTAATGGATTCAAACAATTATAGAATCAAACCATGAACAAATATTTCCTACGGCAGTGGCCCTGGGGGAAGGTTCTGGAACACGGTGATGCACACTCATGGTAACGAAACGTCCACTTCGAATCCACACTCAGCGACGTCTTGAAAAGGCAGGAGAACACCGGGGCACCGACGGAATGTGATGAACTGATGGTCGTGGTATGCGGCAGTGGTAGATGACCAGAGAGTTGGCAGTTGATAGGTGAAGGTCTGGGAACACAGCCCACGAGTCCAGGACCTATGATGAGATCACAGCCAGAATTTGACGGACAGCAGGATAGCTAGATACTGACGGTATGGCGGCTGGGTTGAATCTTTCGGCGGCGGAGATAGTTGCTGCCGTTATCACCTCCGTCCAACCACCCCAAGTGTCGTCTGCACCAGCAAACGAGCGAGTTAGCAGCGGTAACTAGCCGGAGGATCGTTATCCGCCCTCACAGTTAGGTTAGGTTAGGCTTAAGGAAGGATATCAAATAGACATTAAAATCCTTATAATCCTTATATCGTAATGCATTTGTGTTATCTCCATATAATCTGCCTGTTATCTACGTGTTATCTCTTTTATCTACGTGTTATCTGCCTTGTTTCCTGGTGAGTGGAAAGTTACACCAAACAACACCCTCAAGCGCCTATCATGGTGACAAGGTTCAATATTTTGTAACGATTAAATACACCTTCCACTGTATAACATAAGTATTATTTAACTATAAGAGTATAAGCATTCATTTGACTTTAAAAATCCATCAGTTCTCATTTGACTTTAAAACCATTAACTCTCATTTGATTCTAGAAAGTAATTTACATACGTTTCATTTGCCTTAGTGAACAACATAAAAAAAAAGGACTTAAAGGTGTAAAAACAGACAAGGCCGAAACTGTGGACTCTCATATGACCGCGTAAAATGAGGTGATTCCTATTTGACTACTATGGAGGAAAAGATTCTAGTTTGACTGACGGTGGAATTATTATTCTATAATCTTGGCTAATCTCAAGAAAATGTTGCATAATTAAGGTAACCGGGGTTTACCTGGAGCTGTGTGCATAATAATAATAATAACAATGATAATAATAATAATAATAATAATAATAATAATAATAATAATAATAATAATAATAATTTTAGCGGTTTAATGAGAGAAAACAGAAGGGAAAGGGATTAAAATACACAATGAAGAAAAGATAATACACTGCCTGCTCTTATAGTATACTACGTATGATGCAGCTGTGGTGTCGGATAACTACACAAAGGCTGGATCCTTTCCAAGAAGTGACGGTCTGTTCCCAAATTGTTAGCTGGAGATATAATAAAGATAAGAGGAAGCTAAGAAGGCCAGTGTTCCGAGTGTCTCTTGACGGATGAGTCACTCGGTCGTCCAGGGATCCATTGTCACGGTATTTAGGTCACTTGGGAGGGGGAGGGAGAGATGGCGTCCTCATCTCTCACGTGGACCTGAGATGCCAGTAGCGACCATTGTTCAATTGGTAATATTATCAATCTTTGTACTGTGTCTTGGTGGAGAGGAGGAGTTGAGGGGAGGGGGGTGGGAGACCACAGCACACAGCCCCGGGAAGGTTAGCTCGACTACATGCCGAGGCAAACAAGCACCAGCGCCAGAAAAACACTACCGCCACCCCTCCCGCACTAGATGTAGCCCTCCACACGTGCAACATCTGTGGACGGCCCTGGGGAGTCCGGTTGACAACAAGAGAGAGGAAGAATATATGTGTAATGTACAATGAATAATGTATGTGTAGGTGGGTGGGTGTCGAACAGCCCCAGGTAGACAAACAAATCATCATCTTATTCAGCTGCGTCAGGGATGATGAGCTATCCACTGCCCGAAGAGACGCGTTGTAGAATGAGTAACCGGTCTATAGGTCTTGATGTAAGGGCTGATAGTGGGAGACGGGCACCAAAACACTAACAGATGGACGCTACACCCGATAGGAGGCATTGGTTGAGGTGGTTGGTACTTGTCCGTTTAATCAGTTAAGATTATGTCAAGGGTGTTTTGACAGTGTGTAGTAAAGTTAACAGCTTGTGAGCAGTAAGCTGTATAGGTGTGTGTGTGTGGGTGTGTGTGTAGGTGGGTGGGTGGGTGTATGCGTAGGTGAGTGGGTGTGTGTGTGTGTAGGTGGGTGGGTGTGTGTGTGTAGGTGGGTGGGTGTATGCGTAGGTGAGTGGGTGTATGCGTAGGTGACGTATAGAGGATTTAAGGTCGATGACGTACTCAAGATGCTCCATCGATGACGTAAGGAACGAAAACATTTTTGTGACGTCATAAACACACGAAATAGCCACTCGATACATCCCTGACAAAACGAAACGCCACTTACCACAATGATTCGTTCTTACCACCCCTTACACATGCACAGATAACTTAACGAAATAGAAGGCGTCCCGTTTATCATCGTTCACCTCCCCATAGAGTATAGCAGATGACGATTAGAAAAATGTCAGTCCTCGATGAGTTAATCTTTTCGTATTGATTCGTTCACTATTCACTTGATTTTCACTTGATGGTAAAAATTCCTAGCCATTGTTTTGGATTTCTTGTGACGTGTAAGGAAGGAGGCTGGGGGTGTAGGGGGGGTGTTTAGGTTACGCCGCCATTAACAAAAAACAAGAGAATATCAAAATGCGTAGGGTTTGTTTACTGTTGGGGAGTAAGGCAAGGTCTCTCTCTCTCTCTCTCTCTCTCTAAGATAAATAGATGTAACTTGCAAGAGATAGCCAGTTGAATAGTTACACACACACACACATACACACACACACAGAGGAAGGATGAGAACGTCTTATGAACGTTTTGAGGTCGTCCATGTTTACGTACTATGTTACTGTGTGACTTCCCGTGGCGTCATACTGTGTGGTCAACATTTCTCCAGTAAGCTTACATATGTACCCACAAACATACAGTAGCTACTTATGACCACACACAGTCTCTCGTACACATACAAACACACACATACTCACTCATGTCAACATACACATTTATTCAATTGCAAACACACACACACACTCGACATGTAAGCGAGACACGTTCATCTTATTATGTATTCAGTTATAAACCTAGTCAGCAGGTCCGGGTGTGATCAGCTTGACAATATTTCAATGGAACTAGACACCTGGACCCAGTAATATTTTCACAGGTGTCATGATCCACCTAAACAGTTTTTATCGTGAAGAAAAATCAAATTACCGGTATTTTATTAGTTCTAGAAGGTGTACTATCTTAAAAAAGAAAATTATAATTCATCACAAAGCAACAATGTAGGTTTGATGACTTCATGTTTGCTTACCCCCAAGAATGTATATAGAGAAACACGTCTTAAGAAATGTAAGTGGCTTTTCTCACGCCAAGTCCACCTCTTAATCTATCCATCCTAAACAGCAGAGAATCCTATTAAATACGTATGAGATAAGCGACCATCGTGCGTATAAGGTTGATTTACATACACTAAGCATGCGCAGGAAGTCATGACGCAAGATCCTTTACTACCAATCAAGGTGTTTGAACAGGTGTAAATAATGCATTTCTACAACACATGCCGACGTATTTATTCAAGGTCTATTTTTCATTTTTTTTTTATTTTTTTTCATTATATCACAACTCATCCTTCCTCCTCCATGCTTTGAGACGCATAGACGGATGTAGGAGAGGACGCACAGACGGACGCAGGACAGGACTCAAAGTGAAACAGGAAGGGACGCAGAGTGAAATATTAAGGGATATGAGGAGAGTCTGACAGTAAACAGGAAAGACGACATTTTCCGGTCCACGTCTACCATCACACACACACAAACACACACACACACACACACTACTTAATCTAACCTAATCTAACCTAACCTAATCTAACATAACCTAAGTAAGTCAAATCGAACTTAACATAAACCTAACCTAATCTAACCCCAGGTAGCGTCAGGTGTGCTTAATCATCAGGTGAGATAAGCGTGACCGGGGCTGCATTCACTCGCTTCATTCTTAACTTATTTGTATGACGTAATTAATATGATGTCATTAAAGCTGATGACCTATTAGTGTGACGTCATTACGGCTGGTGACCTATTAGTGTGACGTCATTACATACAGTGACCTTTATAAACAGTGTGGTATTATTGTACTTCCTGGCCGTGACCTATATGAACATAAACACTCACACAAAATTAAATATCACACACACACACACACACACAAATCACCCACCCACACACATAAAAATCACACTCACACACACATACACAAAAATCACACACACACACACACACACACACACAAATCACGCACCTACACACACACACACACAAATCACGCACCTACACACACATAAAAATCACACACACACACACACACACACACAAATCACGCACCTACACACACACACACACACACACTATGTAAATATTAGCAGCCTCTCCCATTTTATTTCATCTGATGATTAAAGACCCTGAGGCTATATGTAGAGGGGGTAGGTTAGGTTAGGTTAACTTTAGGTTTGGTTAGGTTAACATTAGGTTAATTTAAGTTAGTTTAGCGTTAATGTGGACATTTTTGTTAATTTTTATATCTAGAACAACGAGTACCGAGCTAAGAAATGATGCTCTGAACTAAGCCTACTGCACTGTACTGTTGCTATGGCATCCTCATCACCATCCTCTTTTAAACACTGTAACTATTCACTACATCGTTAAACATATATAAACGTATAATTATAAGAGAACAAATTCAAATGTTGGAATGTGGAATAAATGTTCAACTCACAGGAACTGGGAAGTCACAACCTTTCTCGAACAAGGCCAAGTACACACTGGCGGTAACGGCTGCCTGGCGCGTCTGCCCTGTAGCCCACTCGACGCGACGCCCGAGGTACCAAAGGTTGTAGGTATAGTAGACTTGGCCAGAGACCAGAGGGTGACTTGCAGTAGAAGTGTAAACACAGCCTTGCCCAGGTACTCGTTACTCCTGTCTAACCAGTTTGGACAGAATTCCATAACACGCGTTGAGAAAAAATTGCTGGGTCACGTGAAGATTAAGCATCCCAATTTTTGTTTTCACTACCATCTTAACGGTAACCTTACCTTTTCTCCTCAAGGTAAAGGAGTGTATTAATCAGGTGAAATAAGCTTAATCCTTACGTGATCCGACCTAGCTTCGACTCATCCTACTGTAGACACTAATCTGCATTTGTCTGGTATAGGAGTTAAGAGGATGACGAAGGACCAGCTGCGTTGTGCATGAATCTGACCACCTAAAGTTATTTGGGAATAAACTTACCAGATAAAACAAACGAACAAAACTAAATTTTTAGAAAAAATTAATCTATTGTTGAACGATTTTGATAATATTTCTAAGTAATGGTTATGTAAACACGTCCGTATCCTCTACACTAACGGACAAATTCGTAAGGTACATCACACACTACTTGGTAACGTTTAATGCCAATGGTACGTATAACAAACTACAGTGCATATAATTAGCCCCAGTCGCCTTCATAAACACCATGTTATAATTATAGAAGCTTAGTCCTGGCTGGCAACTGGGAGTCAATGATACGCTTATCATTAACTTTGTAAGCTGCCACTGTTATTTCTTGAGTTTCTTAGTCGTTGTTATTGGGAGACATTCAACCAATTGTGTTTATTTAGCAAGTGTGTTTGAGTAATGACTGGCCAATGGCGTCAAGGTGACTGTATTTTTTTAATTGATGTTATTGTTATTGATTAGTTATTATCAGCTTATCGTTGTTGTTGCTGCTCCCGGTGGTGTTGACAGTGCGGTATGATATATTTTTGAGAATACTAATAATACCCATATCAAGGAAGCGGATGTCAGTATATAAGACTCATAATACTCAGATGGTCATTGTCAACAGTGAAGGCTAAGTGAGATAGGATGATTTTTTTCAAGTTTACAATGAGATCTTTGTTTACATGTCTGATGTCCCTCTTGTGGCCAAACCTTGAACTATATATCCTGATGATAACTCGTGAGGGATGAACCAATATGGAGTGTAAGTGTTTTAATGAATATAAGTGAATTCTACTACTACTACTACTACTATTACTACTAATAATAACAATAATGATAAAAATAAATGTCAACACAAGTCTGACTGATAAATACGCACTCCTGGAACCTTGGTGAAGCTGTCAATATAAGAGAAGACAATGAGAGTGCACTTCATCCTTGTAAAATAAATAAGACTCGCACTCTCAGTCTTCTGGTGGATAATATCAAGGCTTCGGAGTTGGTGCTGATTCAGGCTTAATAAACATGAACTCGACCCTTGGGATTCGAAAGGCGTCTTGTTTCTCCCAGTGTGTGTGTGTGTGTGTTTATCTAAAAGGGAAATAACTTTCTATGGTCTCATTTTGTTATCATTTATTTAAAACATTTTAAACCTACATATTCTTTTATAAGTGAGTATTTTTTCAATGGATAAAACATCAGATTATATCAATGTTTTATAGAGAAAAAATATAATAACTATTTACTTTTATTTTCTCCTCGTACTCTCTCTCTCTCTCTCTCTCTCTCTCTCTCTTAACCCATCTCCCCTCCTCCTCCTCTCTCTCCATTAGCATATAAAGCTAATTCACCTCAGTCTACATTCCATTACTCCTTCTCTCTATCTCACTTACTCACTTACTCTCAATAGCTCTCTCTCTCTCTCTCTCTCTCTCTCTCTCTCTCTCTCTCTCTCTCTCTCACTCCTTTCCACCATTACCCCCAGCTTTACCAACACGTTTCCTGACTTCTATATTAGCCCTCTTCTTCTCCTTCTCTCCCTCATCCCCTTCCTCCTTCTTCCCATCTTCCTCTATCTTCTTCTTCTCCTCTTCTTCCAACAACCTCTTCTCCTCCTCCATGTACTTCTCCCTCTTCTTCTTAGCTGTCTCTTCATCATCCATGCTCCCATCATCTTCTATAATGAAGTTGTCGAGTTTCTTTATAAAATGGTTGAATACTAAGATGATGCAGAAGGACATCCCCAGGGGTAAACTGATGGTCTTGAGCCAATCTTTCATGCTGTTGGAGAGACGAGGTGGTGATTGGTGGTGATTGGGGGTGATTGGTGGTGATTGATAGGGGTGATTGGGGGTGATTGGGGGTGATTGATAGGGGTGTGGGGTGGTCGTGGTGGTTGGTAGTGGTGGTGGTGGTTGGTAGTTGTGGTGATTGGTGGTGGTTGGTGGTTGGTAGGGGTGTGGTGATTGGTAGTAGGGATGATGATGATGGTAGTGGTGAATGGTGATGGTAAATGTGGTGGTTATGACGATAATGACCACGATAATAATGAGAATAATGATGACGTAGTTAAAGAACATCCAAAAATGATGTTTAAAATGACAATGATAGAAGCTACACCTAAACAGACATGACTAGTGAGAGAAAGCTTTATGGTGTAGTGAGAGAAAGCTTTATGGTGTGGTGAGATAAAGCTGTATGGTGTGGTGAGAGAAAGCTTTATGGTGTAGTGAGAGAAAGCTGTATGGTGTGGTGAGAGAAAGCTTTATGGTGTGGTGAGAGAAAGCTTTATGGTGTAGTGAGAGAAAGCTTTATGGTGTAGTGAGAGAAAGCTTTATGGTGTAGTGAGAGAAAGCTTTATGGTGTAGAGAGAAAGCTTTATGGTGTAGTGAGAGAAAGCTTTATGGTGTAGTGAGAAGTGAGGGAAGTGAGAGGAGGATGTGAGTTCAATAAGGATATACAGGGGAGGGAAAGGGAGCGAGTGCCGATCATGGGGGATGTGTCATGGGGGATGTGTCATGGGGGATGTGTCATAATTCAAGTTTTCAGAAACTATTAATGATTCACTTCTGGGTACAACAACAACAACTACTGCTGGTGTTGTTGTTGTTGTAGTGACGAATATTGTTGCTATTGTGGTTGTAGTTGTTGTTGTTTATGTTATTTATATTACTGTTGTTATTGTTGTAGTTGCTTTCTGCTGTTGTTTTTTTGTTACAATTGCTGTTTTTGTTGTTGTTAAATTTGTTGTTTTTGATGTTAATGTTCTTGTTATAGTTGTTTTTGTTGTTAAAATTCACACTCACTTGTAAGGGTCGTCAGTAATGTAGTAAGTGTCTTTTACGGCCCTTCGACCTGAATTGGAGATAATGACGTCCTTGAGTGGTCGATCGTTCCAATCCGTGGCGACGTGTTCTATCTCGTGTAGTATAGTTTCCCCTTCAACAATCTAAAGAAAACGGATAAGAAAACGTAAGAGAGAATGGTTGAATTGGTAACTTTAATAAATAATAATAATAATAATAACTAATAATAATAATAATAATAATAATAATAATAATAATAATAATAATAATAATTCATTTTACGTAGCAAATTAAGATTTATTCCTCAGTGATATATTAAAATTTGGATATACACATTTTTGGGGAGTATAGTCGATATGGTAGGGTATACTAAGGCAGACTATGATATACTAGATTAGAGTGGAGTATACTGGAGATAATATACAGTTCTTATACTTTACAGGTATTACAATTTAACACTAACCTGGTATAGGGTGCATGCTTACAGGGATAACACTCGCTTAATGGCCAGGATAAACGTTTAGTAAATGTATATTGTCCAGAAACTAAGTCTAGAGAGTATATATTGTCCATAAATGTCTAATTAATCACAGATAGACTTAACAGATCGACTAAATTAAACCAACCACGTCCTAGATTCTTAAACGTTCGCATCTGTCTCTCTGATTAAACCTAAAAGACATCATCGTCGCCAACAATAACACGCAAAGTTCCCTGAGACTCTTAACTAGTGTCAGAGGTATTATGTGAGTGCCAGGGGGTATTATGTGAGTGCCAGGGGTATTATGTGAGTGCCAGGGATATTATGCGAGTGCCAGGGGGTATTATGTGAGTGCCAGGGATATTATGTGAGTGCCAGGGGGTATTATGTGAGTGCCAGGATCAGTACCAGTGCCTTATGGTTAATTGATGGTGTAACTGTTTGCAGAATACTTCTCACTTTACTAGGGTTGGTGTCAGGTATAAGCCCCATGTGGATAGTGAGACACACACACACACACACACACACACACACACACACACACACACCTCCGCCAGCCAGATCCAGTGAGGTAGGGTTTCACATGGTGTGTTTAGGTTAGGTTAATGGACCATATATAGGGGGAATGATGGTGTTTGTCCTATTAATCCTATGGAGTATGTTGGGGTATACTGAGGGTATGTTGGGGTATACTGAGGGTATGTTGGGGTATACTGAGGGTATGTTGGGGTATACTGAGGGTATGTTGGGGTATACTGAGGGTATATACTGAGGGTATGTTGGGGTATACTGAGGGTATGTTGGGGTATACTGAGGGTATGGTATACTGAGGGTATGTTGGGGTATACTGAGGGTGTTGGGGTATACTACTGAGGTATGTTGGGGTATACTGAGGGTATGTTGGGGTATACTGAGGTATGTTGGGGTATACTGAGGTATGTTACATTAGGAATACTGAAGGTATATTAGGGTATACCTGCCGAACACAACATGGTGACCGTTCAGCCAAGGCGTCGCGATGCAAGTGATGAAAGAACTGGCAGCCATTAGTGTCCTTCCCTGTAATAAACTGTAACGCACACACACACACACACACACACACACACACACACACACACACACACACACACACACACACACACACACACACACACAACACACACACACACACACACACATCACACACACACCACACACACACACACACACACACAACACACAACACACACACACACACACACACACACACACACACACACACACACACACACACACACACACACACACACACACACACTGTATACAATACTTTCTCTCCTAAGTGTTAAGACAATAAGATTCATTATATAACTAAAATAAATACACTTTTACAAGAGACACAGACAGACATATTGACAGAGAGAGACAAGTAGACATAGAAAGACAGACACAGGTAGAAAGAGACGGACAATCACAGATGGAAAAAGCGACAGACAGACAGATAGATAAACAGACATATAGACAGATTTGACAGACACAGACCAGACAGACAGACACAAACAGACAGACAGATAGATAAACAGACATATAGACAGATTTGACAGACACAGACCAGACAGACAGACACAAACAGACAGAAAAACAGACAGACAGACTTACCAGTATTGGCCATGCTGATAAAGCCGGGAGTGGCGTGTTTGATGTCCAGTCGTTCATCTGGGAAGCTGTGGCCATAGATCGAGATGCTGCCCTTACCATCACCACTAACTACGTCACCTCCTGCAGTGTGGGGGAAGGTGTGGGGGAAGGTGTGGGAGGAGGGAGAAAGAGATGGGTGGGAAGGGAGAATGAGAGAGGATTTGGGGAGGGAATTGAAGTATGGAGTTGGATGGGGTTTGTTTGGTGGGGAGGAAGAGGAGTGAGTTGGGGTGGGGAGGAAGGGAGAGAGAATGGAGAAGAATGACGTAAGAAGGAAGAAGAGACAGAGAGAAGAAATAACAAATGGGAATTAGAAAGATCAAGAGAATAAGAAAATATTAAATAAAAACACAAATAAACTTAGAACTTTAAACAATTATCGCTTAGAAAAAATATTAACCCGAGTGTAGCACAATATAAAAAAAATATAAAAGAAAACGGAAGCTTAAGCCCAATTCACGGGTAAACTTAACTAAATACGCTCACTAAACACGATCCACGAAATTGCTATCATAAACTCATTCCCAAGTCCCTAAGACCATAGATTTCAACTTAAATTTTGCTAATTTAACATAATATATATAGTTTAGAGCAGTGCCGGCCTTAAGCCAATTGGGCCAATTGCTCCCAATTGGCCCCCGTGCCTAAGGGGGCCCCACGCTAGAGTGATCTACTCTCGGCTCGTCAAGTACACACAACAACACATTGCAGTATATATGTAACACCACATTGCAGGTTCTACAGAGAACACAATTATTATAATTTTTTTATGACTTTTTACAAAGTCGGTAGTGTTTATTTATACTGTTTATGTTTTGATTTTTTTACTGTACCTGAATTAAATAATATGTTAATTACAGAACAGCATTAAAAATAATTTCTCTGAAAAAAATTAAAAAAGACAAATATGTAAATAAACATGTAACAGCTTTTAAATATCTATAAACCTATAGTATTTTCTTTTAACAGTATCATGTGATTAAATTACTATATTACATATTTATGCACATGCACATCTGTTGCAAAATGTATAGTAGGCCTATATTCAGACTCAAGTATTTAAGTTTTACAAAAGGGGTCGGGGATAGGGGTAAATTATCCCAAATGGGGTAAATCTATAAAGTTTGGTAATACATGCGACATGAGGGCCTCAGTTTCCTCGGGTTTACTCCACATTGTTAAAAAAGTTTTCCTTGGCATGGTGACTGACCAAAGTTTCTAGAGGTCGTCAGATTTACGTCTGTTTCCATCTCATGGTGTGAGTTAACCTTCCGTCGAGTGTAAACACAGCTGACTGGATCTTACTACTAGCTGATAAATTTTGTGTCACGGACCCATAAATGAGGTAAGTCTTAGTGACCAAGATATAAACCATATATCTGAAATATGAAGTCACTGATTTTCGGATATTATTCTGGTGTTTTAACTTAAAGAAACCAGATAGGAGAAGTACTCAGGTCTCCACTTACGATAAATAAAGAGACCTTGGAGTATTTTGTATTCTAATTTAAGTGAACTAGTTAAATACGATACAAAATCTCTACTTACTAGCCTTTGAAGAATCTAAACACAGTGATTATTACCTCTAGTAGGTGACTATTAGGTAAATAAGATAAATAGTTGTATATTTTGGTGTTTTGTGAACGCTGTCTGGGCCACTGACTCACACGGACCTAGGCTACTATTCCAGGTGATGGTGGTGGTGGTGTAAGCTTCTCTCAGACTCATCCTCTCCCCTTTGACCTCTAGATACGAAGCCCCGAGCACTTACAAGGTCTCTCTCTCTCTCTCTCTCTCTCTCACACACACACCTTAGACATGCAACATCTCCTCTCTCTCTTTCGCTTGACCTGCACTTGTTTCCCACCACCTCCCTCGACCCCCTACACACACACACACACACACACACACACACACTCATTTCACGATATACCTTCTCTTGTTAGGTAAGATTTGAAGCTTATGTGTATTTTTGATAACCTAACCTAACGTCAACAAAACAAATTACGTCAAAACAAAGTCACATTAACCCACCTTGTATCATAAACTGCTTGATCACTCTATGGAAAGCGGAACCTTTGTAGGAGTAATCATTGAAGCCTCTGGTGGCAAAGGTGACGAAGTTGTTGACAGTAAGGGGGACGTCCTCACCAAAGAGCGCGAATACCATCTTCCCGAGAGGCTTCCCGTCCATCTCTATCTCTAGGTATACTTCTTCCGTCACCTTGTATTCCCGCGGCTTGAGGTGGAAGAGGAAAATGAGTAGGAGGATGACGAGGAGGAGGAGGAGGTCACGTGAGGTTAGATAGTGTCAAGAATGAATGGATGGACACGATAATATCCAATTGACTGACTAAAATAGATCATTCGTGAGTGATAGAATTTGGAATATTTCTGAGTCTTGTAAATAGAAATAATTTCCTAATTTTATATACCAGTCAATAAAGTGTAGTTTTTATACAGTCAATTACAACATGCATTCATTTATCATTCATTTCGCTTGTGAACAATACTGGCGGCCATCTTAAATATTTGATATAAAAACGTCATGGTACATGGTAGTTATGGTGATAAATACTCTCTCTCTCTCTCTCTATCTATATATATATATAATGGTAGGGATGGAGATATTCACATCATGGTATCTGGTATCTATCATGGTGGGAAAGGAGGTTATGGGAGGAAAGTACTCACATCATGGTAGGGAAGGAAGTTATGGGAGGGAGGTACTGTACTCACATCATGGTGCATGGTGGCTATGGTAACGAACACCATGGCCGTGGGTATAATTATCACCACGAAAAACATCCTGACGATAGTAAACTTAGGCAATACGATTTTCATGATGGCGGCAAATTCACGTCAAGGCCTTATCGTGTTCTTTAATGGTGGGAAATGCCTGAGGAAACGTCACTTGGATTTGTGTGAGTTGTGTGTAGATTTGTGTTCGCTATGTGTATTATGGTCACAGTGCGTCAAGAGGGGGCCACTGGACAACCACTCAACGTAAAGGGAATGACTTGAAGGACGTCCACACCCTGCCGCAAGCAGTGACAGACTGACGAGATCTTAACCTAGCCTCGCTGTACAGCCTGTAGTGGGCCCGTCAACCCCTCCCCCCTTCCTCCCACCCCTCTCCCGATATGATCTTTAAAAACTTTATTTTATTTACTATTTGGTTTATTTCAGTTTAAATCGATACTAAGAAACAGTAAATGTAAAAACTCTATTAGGACGTGTTAGGTCTCGGAGGTATGTGGTGATAAGTGTAGTTGAGGGATTGTCCAGATGGGGGCAGCACCGTCAGCGTCGTGGTATATGGCTTCAGTAGTGATGCAACCTTTAGTAGACTTTGCATCAACTACAAGTCACTTTTGGGTATCGATTGACTAAGTTATTTGATTAAAGCTCTTGGTACTTGATGTGAAATATCTACAGGTACAGTTGACTTTAGGGATCTTAGGGGGCAGTAAATAGGCCAAATATCTGGGTATAATTTTAAATGTTATTTTTATTACTGCGTTTTATTCTATTGTTGTGTAAATATGCCACAATATGTCCACCTAGTTAATGAAATAGATCTTTTTCATCAATTATCATCTAAATCGTGATAAATAGACCACTAGAAATAACAATAAAATATAGTTATCTTTTGTGCTTTTAACAAGGGTTATTTTTTTTTACAGGAACTCAGGACAGACAATGGGTAATAGGTGGGGATCTCAGGCATACTCTGGACTTTCTTCCTCGAGAGTGACGCTGTGAGTAGAGGCTGCAAGCAGGCAAGTCACAGCTGTCTTATGTAGTATTGGTTTGTTGATGCAGGAGGGGGGGCGGGTGTTGAGGAGAGACGGTGAAGGGACGGTGAAGGGGTGAGGTGGGAGACGGTGAAGGGGTGAGGTGGGACGGTGAGGGAGGGGTGAAGGTGAGGGGACGGTGAGGGGCGGTGAAGGGGTGAGGTGGGACAGGTGAAGGGGTGAGGTGGGACGGTGAGGTGGGACGGTGAAGGGGTGAGGTGGGACGGTGAGGGCGGTGAAAGGTGGGACGGTGAGGGACGGTGAAGGGGTGAGGGGACGGTGAGGGCGGTGAAGGGTGAGGTGGGACGGTGAAGGGACGGTGAAGGGGTGACGTGGGACGGTGAGGGGCGGTGAAGGGGTGAGGTGGGACGGTGAGGGGCGGTGAGGAGGCGGAGGGAGGTACACAATAACCAGACAACTACTACCTCAGGATGGTGATTGAGGCCCCATTTTATAACGTTGTCTAGAACACTCAACATATTATCGTTCACCCATAATCATTCCTTTATTACCCTCCTTATAACTACATATCCTTTGAGTGTACAGTAGTTTTAATTTCTATTCAGTGTTGTTTATTATCCTCGAACCTGTTACTGATGGTACACTGTGACTAGGGAGGTACAATGTGTTATACAGACGTTAAGCTCTTGACAGATTGAAACACAAGTGAAGCTCCATCAAGTACATTATCTTCCGCACCATTTTTTATTACATCAGCTGATAGACGCCATTATCGCCTGGTACCAAAACATTCCTCTTGGCTGAGGTTGTATTAAGGTGTAGGACTGTGCAGTTTAAGGGGTAGGACTGTGCAATTTATGGGTCAGGACTATGCAATTTAGGGGTCAGGACTGTGCAATTTAAGGGGCAGGGCTGTGCTAGTGGTGCAGTGATCAAGACACAACAGACCTAACCCATTGGCTTCAGGATATTAATAAACTCATGATGGTTATAATAACAAACATTTAATATGGAGATGAGGGCATGGAGAGCCCCCACAGTGGCAGGCCGGCCACGTTGTACACAAACCCTCCCTCAGGATCTGCCCGCTGAGAAAAAAATAGATTCCCGAGGGAGGTGACATGGAGAAGGTTGAGGCGCGCGAGGGGAGGAACTAGTGCAGGTGATGAACCAGTGTCAGCCAGCGGGACGAGCCGAGTCTAACGCCAAAAGGGATGAATGTAAAGGCACAAAACAGCTCGTCATCTCGGAACGGACGAGTTGATACAGTATATAGTTGCTAGATGCGGACATTTCTGGCAGTGAAGGTCTCAGGTGACGAAGCTAAGGTAACACTTATCTCCTCTGTGACTAAGAGTAAAACACTTAAGGCTAAATTAACGCACTAGAGGTTAAGTCTTGGGCCTCCATATGACACTGTCTCTCCACAACATCTTCTGCACTAAGGCGTCCAGGAAGTCGTCAGCGGCGGCGGGGTTGTCTCTAAACACCTTCTCACACGCTCTCTTGTACTTGTGCAGCTCTGACACCAGCGTCTTGGTGTACAGAGGGTCCTTGCTGGCGTGTAGCGTCGCTGCATTGTACGGGAACGTCCTCACCCAGTCCCCGCTCCGCGCCGGGCACCGCTGTGGACCACGACCTCCCTCACCACGACGAGACGAGCTGGGCCGCCCACGACCACCCAGGTCCATCACCTGGCCCTCTCGACCACTCCTGACCAGCGACATGTAGCTTCTGCTGCTGTGGTTGTTGACGAATTGGCGACGCACTCGCTGGAACGTCGTGTTGAAGGTGACGGGGACGAACGTGTCAAGACTCAGTTCCTCCGGCACCAGCGGGTCGTGAGGGACGCCCGATAGGGACGAGATGGATCGTCGTCTACGCGGCGCCACGCACCGCCCACCACCTGGCGGAGAGACACCCTTTGCGTTGGAGTTCCTCTGAGTGTCTTTCTTGCCGACGACGCGGAAGTTTTCAATGCTGTAGGAACCCGGGGTGGAATGGCGGGCGTCGGGAGACGTGGCGGGTGGCCTGTACCCGCTCTCCTCACAGTCCTCACACACACTGCTGCGTGACTTCCTTGTCCGTAGGTTCGGCCGGAACATCTCGAAGCTCTCCATCAGTCGCTTGTACTGCTTCAGGTCGAGGGCGGTGCAGAGGTCGTCGTTAAGGATGGAGGAGTCCTTCTCGCTGTCCTTCTTATGTCTCTCGCGGGCCAGCAGGATGAGGACCGGGGGCCTGAGGGCGCGTCCTAGAGGCTCAGCCACTTTGGGGGGCCCGAGCAGGTCAAAGAGGTGGTGGAGGAGAGGCTTTTTGACCACCCGGTCAACATCACAGTCGTAGCTGAGTGAGGGGCAGCGGTTGACCTCCAGCAGCGACGGCGTCAGCGTGTCGTCCACCTGCCAGACGGTAACGAGTTAGTGTATGGTGAGGGGAGGGAGGGAGGAGAGTTAGTGGATGGTCAGGGAAGGGAGGAGAGAGAGGGGAAAAAAAGAGAATGAGAGACAGCGAAAGAGAGAGGAGTTACTGCATGGTAAGTAGAAGACGTGGATGGACAAAGAGGCAGAGAAAGATACAGACAAACAGACAGATAAAGTGCAAAAGATCACACTTGGGTTTAGAAGAACAATCACCAAAATAACATACAAAAAACATAAATATTTCAAATATCTAAATATCTAAAACAACAATGGTACGTAATAACTCTCTCTCTCTCTCTCTCTCTCTCTCTCTCACCAATATATCGAAGCCGTAGAGTTCAAAACAGTTGTGGTGGTGGGGGACGTGGCCGACTTGAGTAAGGAGAGTGAGAGAGACGAGAATACTGACCCTCTGCCACAGTAACCAGTCTCTCTGTCCACTACCATTCAAGTACCTCCGTAACTCGCCCACCGTCCACTTACAGCCTCGAGAATGATGAAAAAATCGTGGTTAGATTAGGTTAGATTACACATCAATTTAGGTTGTAATTTAAATAACTCTAGATTAATTCCATTTAATTTGATTTAGATTACATTTAACCCAAGACAAGTGTGATTATAGATGACGTAGGGATTAATTTAACTCACCAGCACCTACTCTCTCCTTCTCCATTCTGTAACCCGGAGCTAACTTGTTTAGGGACGTGTTGGTCAAGTGGCTGAAGATGTTATCCAGAGAAGCCAAGCTGTACTTCTCTGTCCCAAACCTGTGTGTAGAGAAAGGGGGGATGGAAGGGGAGGGGAGGGGAGAGGGGAGGGAAGTGGGAAGAAAGGGTAAGGGTAGGGTGTGGGAAGAAAGGGAGGGGGAATGGAGGGAAGGGCGAAGAAAGGTAGGAGGAACGGGGAGAGAAGGGAAAGAGGGGAGGGAAGGGGGAAGAAAAGAGGGGAGAGGTGAGGGAAGGGGGCGTTAACTTACATCCATGTTGGTAGATAAGTAGATAGGTGAAATAAGCTGGGGTGTATAATCTTCAGGTGATCAGAGAAATGCTAAATTAAAATATAGTTGATTAGTCGTAAATATATCTAGCCCACACCTGTCTACGCCCTCTAAAGTCAGCCCACACCTGTCTAACACCCTGAAAACCCAACCCACATCTGTGTAACACCTTGAAAACCCAACCCACACCTATCTAACACCCTGAAAACCCAACCCACACCTGTCTAACACCCTGAAAACCCAACCCACACCTGTCTAACACCCTGAAAACCCAACCCACACCTGTCTAATTAGTATCCCCAGGAACCTAACACCTTACCGGACAATCCCTTCGGTGTAGAGGTAAACGGTGAGGGGGAGGAATGAGGTGACGAGGACATACAGACGAACATCACACTTATAGCCCCCCACCAGGAGAGGGTTGTGTATATACCTCTGGACCACGGCGCTGGAGGTGTAACTTAACTCGTGTAGGTCCTGTGTGGGGTGAGGGAGAGGCGAGTTGTTTTGGACTGAACACAATGAACAATGAACACACTGAACACTGAGCACAATGAACACACTGAACACTGAGCACAATGAACAATCAATCGCTGAACACTGTGAACAATCAATCGCTGAACACAATACACAAATGAACAATCAAACGCTGAACACATTACACAAATGAGCACGTGAACACAATACCTGGAAGATGGAGATGCCTCGCCCTTGAGAACTACTAATGGGCTTACAGATCCAGATATTGTGGGGGGCGGGGTCTTGATTGACCTGACCCATGGCTTGGCCTACCCCTAGTGACCCCACGTGACCTAGGAGGAGACAGGTATACCACGTGAGAGAGAGAGAGAGAGAGAGAGAGAGAGAATTCATGCTGTAAGCTGCAGTAAATATTATTAGCGCTGTAGTCCCTCTGATTGAACTTACTAATCTGAAGACTTTATTTCTTCACTAAATATCTACCTTAGGTAATTAAACAAATATATTACAACAGCTTACACCAAAAAGCAAGAAAATATAAAGCAGCTGAGGTTATAGTGAACATTTACTAGCATTTAAAGATAATAGATAAACATTTTAATACTATTTTAGAAGAAGAGTAGAATATTACCTCCTGTTCAGAATGAGTAAACTACAAGATGTGTCTATTTACGGATATTACAGTGTTTAAAATTACTAATATATTTACATGTGATTTAATGATTTAATTTATTTTTTAGTAAGTTATTTAGTCAAGTTATATTATTATTATTATTATTTAAACTCAAAGTCACAAGGCAAGTACCTGTGTTTGTTGAGTTCTTGCCCCCCTGGTCCTGTTTGGTGTGGTACATTAGTCGTGTGTACTCGGCCACTAGCTTGGTGTATTCGCACGGCAGCAGGTACGTAGCTGGTCTGTTAGGCGAGTGAAATAGTGACCCATTTTAAAAACTTTGAGATACAGTTTAGTTACCGTTAACATTTTATTATAGAAAACGTTAAATCTTAATTTTATTTTATGATTTTAGGGATAACTCATAAGGATTTCCTTTGACTCCAAGCTGTTATTTCTTTATTAATTTAAATTTTAATAATGTATTCTGAAGTTAGGAGACAATTCGAAGTAATGAAATTTTATATATATTAGTTAATAAGGAATTATTATTATTTAGGCGATTATAATAAGCATACGTATTATTATCACGAAATGTGTGTGTGTGTGTGTGTGTGTGTGTGTGTGTGTGTGTGTGTGTGTATGTATTGACGGATGCCTGTACCATATTACTCTACTATGAACGCCTCAAGATGCTCTGTTTACATGTAGTGTCTTCGATATGGTCACGACAATCGCTTATGGACACTCCCTCACTTTATTCATGGGTTATATTAGTTCTAACTTGTATAAACTCTTACTTGTTTTTAGTATTAGTCACAGCGAAGAAAGATGTCGTAGGTCAAGTTATGGATCAATTATGGGAGATGGAACGTGGTAAATATTTATAAGTATCCAGTGTTTGTTAGTACTGAAGTTTACCGCTAGGGGGGCTTGGGGGCGTGGCTTTATAACTTATTATTATTATATTATTATTATTATTTTTATTATTATTATTGTTGTCCTTACTACTACTACTATTACTACTACTACTATAACAGGCAGGTCTATGGAGCCACACGCTGTATTTGAGTTATCATTGATTAAATAATTCATTCATTATTTACACATCTTTACCTGCTACCCTTCCAACCATTCATTGTCCTTTTGTTTACTATGACGTCATCAATTCGTCACAGAAATTACATACTTAAAACTCATGAAGGAATCTAGGAATGGCAAGTGGATATGAAGCTTCTATCAATTGAATGAATAAATTGAAATAAGGACTAGGAAGGAATTGGTATATATGTCAGGATGAAAGAAGCTCGAGTAGGAATTGTGGACGGTCGAGTAGGAATTGTGGAAGGTCGAGTAGGAATTGTGGAAGGTCGAGTAGGAATCATGGACGGTCGTACAGGAATCAGAAAGGTAGTTTAACTGGAATAGGAAGCAAGAAGATGGATTTAATTGGATATAGAAATAGATGAAACAACAGCATATAAACAGACACACACACACACACACACACACACACACACACACACACACACACACACACACAATAACTTACATGAAATCGAAGACTGAGCCAAACACGTGTTTCATCTTCTGCAGAGCTCTCGCCAGACTGTCCTTCTTGCAGAGCCCATTAGCCCGCGGTATATGGTTAATGACCTGACGAAGAACGATAAACTGAGGTCAATCTGAGGTCAAACTAAGTGGGGAGAGGGTGGGGTGGGGGGTTGAATGGGGTTTATTTAGAAGTATTTGAGGTCATGTGTTGAGGTCGTCTAGGGTTACGTGGGGTCATCTGAGGTCAGGAGAGATCACTGGAGGAACTACTTGGATGGCATTTAGAGAGAAATGGGATCATCGTCGGGGGTTAGATCAGGTCATCTTCGGGGGGGGAGGGAGTCTTTTGGGGGAGATACGGTGTCGCCCTCATCAAGACTCACCTGGTAGGGCTTCAGCCTCCTGTAGACTCCTGGAGGGAAGCCGTGACGCCACCACAGATGCCAGGAAGACCCAGGACCTCCCCATTCATCGCCTTCTACAGCTCCTTCCCACGCCCTCCACCCTCGCTCCACACACACCTGAACAACACCTCATATTAGATCCCTTATACTCCCTTATGCCTTCATCTTGTTCTCCCTTATTCTATCTCCTTATATCCCCATCTTACACGACGGAGGAATGGATACTGTGAGTGGACGAGTGATCCACCAATAAAAACCAGGAATGTGATTATGTAAGTTGTGATTGGTTAGTGTCATGTAGTATCCTTTGATATTAGGTTAGGTTGTTGGTGTTCACTTTAACCAACACTAACAACTGGACCATAAAAACAGTCATAACTATCCCCAATAACTACTAAATCACCCTCTTAAACAACCATCTAGTTAAGTAACATCATTAACAGGTACACACGCTCACGTTTTAAACCTGTTTCAATTAGCCTATCAGTCTGACCCGGCGTAAAAGGTCATTAAACGCTGTAATGACCTCTGATGGGTCTTTGTTAGCAGTTTACAGTTATGACCTGACTTGGCCCCCCGACAGTAGATTGCTTGTGTCGTAAACGTGTGCCAGTGATTACCTTAGTTACCGTGTGTGTGTGTGTGTGTGTGTGTGCGTGTCACTTTCTGTCTGTTTCTATCTATCTATCTCCATAATCTTACATACACGCAACCACAAAGACACACCTTATTTAATTTAACTCCTAAAAACACTAAGCCTGAAAAATATTAATACAATATATATATATCGTGACAAGACAGATGGAAAAAGTAACATTAAAAATAATAAAAATTAAAAAAAATATCGACAAAGTCCACAATCTGTGCTGCAGTGCGGGGGTGGATGGCGTCACCCGGATCATAAATCCTTTCCCTTCGCTCACCTGGACCTAAATCCTTTCACCGGATAGGATTATAGGATTTATTATGATTATCGTGATTAATCTTCCCAGGACAGACAGTGGTATAATTGGTGTAGATTAAGCCACACTCTCCCCGTCTAATCTCGTGACTAATCTAACACAGTTGGTTTATTTATGTTTATTGTATTTGTTGTGTTTGTTTAATGTTGGTTTTTAAACGACGACCACACGGAGATGTCGTACTGCATGTGTGTGTGTGTGTGTGTGTGTGTTTCTGCATGTGTGTGTGTGTGTACGTCCATAAAACATGCATATTTCGGTTTGTTTTCTGGTCTGTCTGTCTGTCTGTTTGTCTGCCCTCAACCTATAAAACACAGAAGGTCCTAATGGGCGGCAGGTCACACACACACACACACACACACACACACACTAAGAAAATTAACACAACTACAGACAAATAACATCATTAGTACCATGGTGTAAGAGAGAGAGAGAGAGAGATAGAGAGAGAGAGAGAGAGAGAGAGAGAGAGAGAGAGAGATTACCATATGACATCTTAATCTATAACTTCCTTTAAATCACCGTTATTTTAAATTCTCTTATTCTTATCTCTTCTTTAATCACGTAAGTCATTTAGACCAATTATACGTCCAAGGGGAATTGAATCCTTTATCATAGAGGGGAGGGGAGGAGGGGTAGGGGAAATGGGAGGGGGAATTTTTTAAAGTATAATTCCTTTAATTCTGTTTCTTAATTATCAGTTCCGAATTATTCCTTATTTTCGCATAATCTGCAGATGGTTTGGGGCCAGAGAGGGGGGGTGAGAGGGGGAGGTAATGGTGAGAGAGAGGGGAGGGGAGAGGTGATGGAGGGAGGAAAGGTTAGGAGGTGATAGAGGAGGGAAGGGGAGGGGAGTGAGAGGTAGGGGAGAAATAGGGAGGGGGAAGAGGGGGAGGGAGAGAGAAGGAGAGGGGGGAGGGAGATAAAAATAGACACAATTATTTTAAAGTAACATAATAACCTGTGACATAAATGACCTTTGACCCAAATGACCTTTGACCAAAACGACCCATGACCAAAACTACCCATGACCAAAACGACCCATGACCAAAACGACCCATGACCAAAACGACCCATGACCAAAACGACCCATGACCAAAACGACCCAGGACTCAAAGGTCTTCATTAACTAAAGACAGCCATAATACAGTCATTGTCATGGACCTAACCTAACCACATGTCTTGCTTGGTAAATAAATGTCTGAATGTCTAGTCTTGGGACAATGTATAATTGACACGGGGTCTTTTAATAAATGAGAAATGTCTTCTTTATGTTGTCTAATGGAAGGGAATTAGAGGGAGTGTTTCTTTAATGTGGTGTTTGTTGTTTAGTTAAGCTAGGAGAGAGAGAGAGAGAGAGAGAGAGAGAGAGAGAGAGAGAGAGAGTCTTGCCAAACAAATTCAGTACCTTGTCCTTAACCAATCGTGTGTCTCTCTCTCTCTCTCTCTCTCTCTCTCTCTCTCTCACCACCTTCCCTCACTCCTCTCCTTCGTTGCCCCTTCCTTCCCTATCACCACTCTTCCATTACCTCACTACCCCTCTCTCCCTCTTCCTTCCGTCCTTCCTTCCTTCCCTCCCCCCCCCGCCGTCGCCATTTATCACAGCGCGTTTCAACAACAAGACAGCGAAATTATTATTATTATTTTTCCCAGTCTGGAGCCACTAGCGCGAGAGAGAGAGAGAGAGAGAAAGAGAGAGTATTTTCAAGGACTAATAGACTAACACACCTGTACTTACACACCTGACCTACATACCTGACTTACAGACACACACACACCTGTCTTACCTGAAGGAATATAAATGTCAGAAATATTTTAAACTTATTACA